TCTCCTCAGGTCCTCTAAAACCTCCAGAACTGGTCTCCTCAGGTCCTCTAAAACCTCCAGAACTGGTCTCCTCAGGTCCTCTAAAACCTCCAGAACTGGTCTCCTCAGGTCCTCTAAAACCTCCAGAACTGGACTCCTTAGGTCCTGATGTTCACAGACTGTTGTTAAATTAAGAGGAGATTCTTTAGAAGGAAACATGACCTTAAAATAAAAACGTTGCTGTCAAAAAATTYTAAATGAACTATGTTTTTCTCCTAAAAATGATCTTTAAGTCTTTTAGTTTAAATGTTTGATTTGTTTATTATTTTCCTTTGTTGCAGATCTTTTTTGTTTGCTTTTTGTTTTAAATTAAATTTTTCTTTTGTTTATTCTTTTAAATCCATTACGTTCAAAAAGTCAAATTAAAAAAATCCCTTCATTAGCTCAGGTTTGTTGTGTTTGTTTCAGGGCAGCAGGTGGTCCTCGGGGGAGGACTTTGTGTCGGCCTCTTGGATCCTGGGAGTCCTCCAGCCTCACCCTCACCTGGTGATCCTCAGACTCCCTCACCTGCTCGGACATCTTAAAAAGCTCAAACCTCTGACCTGAATCTGTCCCCTGCAGCGGTCCTTCATCAGCCACCAGGCCCAGCAGGTGGTTCAGGTTCTGTCGGGTCTGCGGGGGTCCTTCCTGAGCCCGGTGCAGGTGGTCCTGCTGCTCCAGCGCTGTCGCCTCCTGCTGACGTGTCTGCAGCACAGCGAGCAGCTGGCCCAGCACCTGCACACCTGCTTCAGGGAGGAGTTCAGGTGGAGTCAGTCTGCTGCTTGGTTTTATAAAAACACAAGAAATTAAATTGAACTGAACTTCCTGTTTGTGTCCTGCAGGTACTTTGTGACATCATCGAGTGTGGAGAGGCTGCTGCCTGATTATCCAATCAGAGGAATGACCATCAAACTAACAGAACAGATTCAGACTCTCATACAGGACAGAGACCCCCACAGGAAGTCCTGATCGGATATCATGTGCCTTCAGTTTATTTTAACCTCTTAAAGACTTTTAAAGAGTCCACTTATTGTTTCCCTGTTTTTAACTTTTCAACACATCTTTTAGCAAAACCTTCGGCCCATCCAATGGTGTATTAGGGCCATTTTGCAGATGAAAAAAACAAAAGGAGACACAAATCTACACCAAAAAAATTAGATATTTTCAAGAAAATAACTAGAAATGTCCTCAAAAAACAAGTTTCACAAATCAAATATATGTTTCACAAATCTCACGCTTGGTTTTAAATATTCCACACTCAGTGTAGAATGATCTACATCYACGTGTTTTAGTTTTAAACTCGAGCGGATTAAAGATGCTCGAGGTGAAAACAGGTGGAATCTCCCTTTAACCATTCATGAAAACTTCAGAGTTTTTATCATTTCTTTTTTTGTTCTTGAAAATAGAAAAATAGAAAATGTTGAGTTAAAATATGTAAACTTCTTTGTTTTTTCTCACAAATTTCTGAAATAATCTCAAAATTTCTGATTGTTTTTTTTTGGTGGAGATTTGCTCCTACTTTTTGTTCGCAAAATGGCCCAAATGTGCCATCATATTCAAAAGATAGCTTTTTTACTTCATTTCAAATATTTTCCTCCTACAAATCCGATTCCTTCAGAAACATTGTTCCTATTAAAACCTGCTTCAGGAATATCCACAGATTATCTTCAATCAAGCTCAAATTTACACAAAAACATCTAAAGGAAACGATATTTGATGCTACAGTTCTGTGTCTGACCACCAGAGAGCATTGATGTCTTAATGTTTATGTTAAAGTCAAGTATTATTTGTAAAACATATTTAAATCTCTGACAAAATATAAAAAAAGGAGCTTCTACTGACAGAAGGTTCAGTRAATGTTTTATTTATCTGAGACTGAGCTGATGACAGAAAACCTTTAATCTGTGTTTTAAAATGATCAGTTTAAACGTTTACATTAAAGAGTTTAATTAGTTTGTCAAACATGAAGATAAGGCAGCTCTGTGATGGATCACACGCGTGTTTTAATCAGCGTTAACACGAATTAATTAAACTTCACAGCGCTGGGCTCCTGATAGATTAAAGTCCGTTTCAGAYGAGCAGAATTAGAATCACAAGATTAGGGATTAAAGTCCCATCATTCTCTGACAAACGGCTCCAGAAAGGTTAGCAGACTGATGAGATATTAAGGAGGTCTCGCCACGCCTCAGGACAGAAGATGACCAAACGCTGCAGCAGTTAATAAAAACACTGCTGGTTAATTCTCTGCTGAAGGCTCCACAGTACGTCCTGATTCAAACAGGAAGTGAAAGATTAGGAACGAAACCAGGTGATTTTCTTTAAAGAATGTTAGTTTCTGCTTGTAAAACATGTCGTCAGACAATAAACTGYTTCAGCTGTTTGATATGAGAAGCTTTTTATCTTTAAACTACAAAAAMCGCATTTCCTGTGAAAATGCTTATTGCTGAAAACTTTAGCTGAAATGGAGCTGAAAATGTTAAAATAGCAACGCAGTTCAAGCGAGTTCAATTAGCAAAGCTGAAAGAAGCAGAAAAAAGTTTAATTTAGCAGAATAATAGCTGAAAAGAGCAGAAAGACAGCTGAAAAAGCTAAAATTAGCATAAAAACAAGCTAAAGGCAGCAGACAGAAGTTAAAATTATCACCCAGATGGTGAAAGGAGTATTTAAAATTATCTAATTAGCACAGAAAATGCACAGAAGTACAAAAAAGTTACAATTTGTTATAAAATAGCTAAAACATTCCATGCGAGCAGTAAAACAGCTAAAATGCAGCTGAAAATTCTTCAATTAGCTCAAGAAAGCATTAGGAGCACAAATTTGCTGAACAATGCGGGAAGGAGCTGAAATAGCCACCAAAATGTTAATTTAGCTTAGAAACTAACTTTAGCTAATACCAACTGAACATTAGCTAAAATTGCAGCAATATAGCAGAAGCAGAACAAATAATGGAAGGTTCTGTAAAGATTTAGAAACATTTCAAAGGATTTTAAGGATGTTGAAAGCAGCTCCATTCATTTTCGAGGGGAAAAATGTGGCCGAAAAGTGAAATAGCTAAAAAGGTATAAATAGCTGAAATACCAAAAGTCGTAGTCAGAATGTCCTGCAGGAGCTGAACATTTAGATATATGAATTTTTAAAATTGCACAAAAATTGCGGAACGAGATACGTGACAGTAAATGTTTCTCAAACTACCTTTAATTAAAGCAAAGATCATGAAAATCAAACAGCTGAACTCTGAAACTATAAACAACAGTTTGTGAAGGAAAACACCTTTAAAATATATTTTCATCTAATAMGGCATGAAGTCACCTCACATAAAAAGAGAAATTTCTTATCTTAAAATATGAAGGAGCCACAAATAGGCTGCATTTGAAAAGTTAATGGGATTTTCAACTGATTAGAGAAAAGAAAGGTCTCTGAGGAAAGAGGCGGTCTCTGGTGACGGACAGCCGGCTGGATGTAAATGAAGTTGAAATGATCTATAGTCAGATAGAGGTCAGGATGGGACCTCGCCCTAACGTCTTTCATCCTAAAAACACTTTCAGATTGACCGGCCTCGCTCCGTTTCTCGTTTTAAAACTCCACACTTCCTGGCCTCGACCATCAGATAAACCCCGCCCCCTGCTGACAAATGGATTGGTTCTGGAATGAAATTCATTCAGACCAGACAGGAAAGTAAAACKTTCTTTCACAGATGGTTTCACCTTGTGACTGATTTTTGTTTTAAATCAAGTCGTGATGCATTTTAACTCAATTTTTGCCATAAAGGCAGAAGTGTCACCAAGAACCAGGTGCTCTGATCATACTGGAATATCAGCAACATGTGATTATACAAGATTAGGTTTGTACAAATTTATTTTAAAAAATTGCAATAATTTAGATATTTAAGAAAAAGGGACTAATAATACAGATTTGAAGTGAAAAACCTGAAATTACTGAAAGAGTTTGAGAGAATAGGCCTCATAGGAAATGAAGTTAATTGGTTGAAGAACATGCTGCACATCTAGAACCGGGTCGCTGTGGGAACAGTTCATTCAGGGAGTCCAGAACTCCMTCTTCACAGCACTTCTGTTCATGATTGTTCAGAGTGGAACTGATTAATGTGGTAAAGTAGAGGCTAAATGARTAATTGTTATAAAATAYCTGAATCTTTATAAAGCAGGTCAGACAAGAAGCAGCTGAACACCTGGYTTGTTGTGTTTCTGCTGAAGGATGAAATGATGATGAGCAGATAAAGAACAGGTGTGTCTGGAGATGATCAGAGG